TAAAGAGTATTTTCAGACAACACGCAGGGGAGGGGCGAGGGGAAAATTGTTTCAGGGGGCAAAAGCGGGGACTTTGGGCAGCAGAGGAAGGGGTCGAGGCAGCACTAGTCGCACCCAGGGGCCAGGGCCCCCGGGTTTTGTCATAAAGGGTCGTGTTAAACCGACAACCCTGCCTTTCTTTTTTTTGGTTTTGGCTGGTCGTCTTCTCTTCCCGGGTCCCCTCGGGACACCTACAGAAAAAGGGGGTGGTGGGTACGTCGGGAAAAACCCCGTTATTTTTGGCAGGGCCCCGGGGGACCCAAGCCCACTGAAATCCCCGTGTCCTTACCTGCCCCTGTCCTTTGGTGTTCCCCCCACCAAGCGAAGATGCTTTGCTGTGGGCTCACCCCCACTGTACAGTGAGGAAGAGCTAACAGGGGGCGGTCAGGAAGGGGGGGGGAGCCCTCCGCCTCTTCAGCAGCCCAGGCGAAGAAGAAAGGGGCGGGGGGAGAGTGGCTTGGTAGCCCGGTCTAGAGACGGGTTTTTGTCTCCTGACCCACACGCACCCAAAGGGGGTTTAGTAGTGGGGGCGGAGACCCCTAATTGATGATGATGGGGGTGATCGACTTGGAAAAGCCTCGTCGTAATCGGGGTATTGCTTCCCCCATCATCAGGAGAAGGGGGTTGCCAGCTTGGCAGCGGGGCAAAACGTCGGTGGGTTCCCCAGGGGGGCAGCGGGGGTCGCAGCATTTTGTCAGTGGACGCAAAAGGGGCCAAACGGGAGTGGGGAAGCCCCCCCCCCCCCGGGGGGGGGGGGGGGGGGGGGATTAAAAGGGTTAAGGGGGGAGAGTTTTGGGTGGGGAGGGGGGAGGGAGCAGTCAGCCAGTGAGGAGGGAGCGGGGGCAAAAGTTTCCTACTGGCGGGAGGGTTTTGGAATTTTTTTTTTTAAAAACCCCCCCGAGGAAATAAACGTAGCCGTATGGCGGGCTATGTGGCCAAGGGAAAATCAAGCGTTTTGGCCCGGGGGCCCATGTTCCCATCGCCACCTCTGCCCCTGTTTCCCCCTTTCAGGGGCTCCTTTCCCCTGCTGGGGGGGTTTTTTTTGGGCATTTGGGTGCTGGAAAATTACGGGCCCCCCATTTCTTTCTGCCAGGCCCGTAAAACTGGGCATGGGTTCCCTGTAACCGCCTCCTCATTTCTGCTGGCCCGGCCCGTTTAAATTTTTCATGGGGGCCCTGTTCCGGGGTTTTCCCATTGTGCTGTCCCCCATCCCACATCTGCCCTGTGGGCCCCTTTCGGTCTCCTTACATGTGGTGGGGGGTTCCATTTTTTTCATTTGGGTGTGGGGAGATTACGGGGGCCCCCCAAATTTCTGGTTGCCGGCCCCTTTAACTGTCATGGGTCCCTGTAAAGCCCTCCTCATGTGCTGGGCCCGGGGGGGTAATTGTCATGGGTCCCTGTACGGTTTTTCCCCTTGCTGCGGTTTTCCATTTGCCAAAAACTCTTTCCATGTTTCCACCCTTTCCTAGTGATCTCCTCCATGCTGGTGTGTTCCATTTTGTCATAGGGTGCTGGCAGATTCGGGCTCCATTGCTGCTGCAAGGTCCTAAAATAGACCCTGGGCCCTGTACGCTGCTATGTGCTGCCGGTCAGAGTCTCTCATGGGTCCTGTACGGCCTCCATTGCTGCTGTATCTTGCACATTAGCATGTGCACTTTTAGGGTACTACACCACTGCTGGTGGGTTCCTTTTTGTCATTGGGTGCTGGCAGATTACGGGCTCCCATTGCTGCTGCCAGGCCCCTAATCTGTCATGGGCCCCTGTTTACCACCGCCTCCTCATGCTGCTTCCCAGGTCCGTAATCTGTCTCATGGGTCCCTGTACGGAGCCTCCCATTGCTGCTGTCTCCATCACCACACTCTGCAATGTGCCACTTTCAGGTCTTCCTCACACAGCTGGTGCGGTTCCATTTTGTCATAGGGTGCTGGCAGATTATGGGCCTCCCATTTCTGCTGCCAGGCCCGTAATCCTGTCATGGGGCCCCTGTAACGCCTCCTCACATGATGCTGGCAGGCCGTAATCTGTCAATGGGTCCCTGTACGGCGTCCCATTGCCTGCTGTCTCCATCGGCACTCACTCTGCCATGGTGCCACTTTCAGGTCTCTCTCACACTGATGGTGGGTTTCCTTTTTGTCATAGGGCTCGCTGGCAGATTACGGTCTCCCATTGGCTGCTGCCAGGCCCGTAATCTGTCTTGGGCACCCTGTACCCGCCCTTCCTTCAAGCTGCTGCCAGGTCCAGAGTTGTGTCATGGGTCCCTGTAAAACGGCCTCCCATTGACTGCTGTCTCCATCGCCGCACTCTGCCATGTGCCACTTTCAGGTCTCCTCACACCTGCTTGGTGGGTTCCATTTTGTCATAGGGTGCTGGCAGATTACGGGCCTCCCATTTGCTGCTGGCCAGGCCCCTAATCTGTCATGGGCCCCTGTACCGCCTCCTCATGCTGCTGCCAGGCCCGTAATCTGTCTATGGGTCCCTGTACGGCCTCCCATTGCTGCTGTCTCCATCGCCACACTCTGCCATGTGCCACTTTCAGGTCTCCTCACACTGCTGGTGGGTTCCATTTTGTCATAGGGGGGTGCTGGCAGATTACGGGCCTCCCATTGCTGCTGCCAGGCCCGTATAATCTGTCATGGGCCCCTGTACCGCCTCCTCATGCTGCTTTGCCAGGCCCGTAATCTGTCATGGGTCCCTGTACGGCCCCCCATTGCTGCTGTCTCCATCGCCACACTCTGCCATGTGCCACTTTTCAGGTCTCCTCACACGCTGGGGTGGGTTCCATTTTGTCATAGGGTGCTGGCAGATTACGGGCCTCCCATTTGCTGCTGCCAACCCGTATGCCTGCCATGGCCCCCCCCTACCGCCTCCTCATGCTGCTGCCAGGTCCAGAGTGTGTCATGGGTCCCTGTACGGCCTCCCATTGCTGCTGTCTCCATCGCCACCACTCTGCCATGTGCCACTTTTCAGGTCTCCTCACACTGCTGGTGGGTTCCATTTTGTCATAGGGTGCTGGCAGATTACGGGCCTCCCATTGCTGCTGCCAGGCCCGTAATCTGTCATGGGCCCCTGTACCGCCTCCTCATGCTGCTGCCAGGCCCGTAATCTGTCATGGGTCCTGTACGGCCTCCCATTGCTGCTGTCTCCATCGCTCACAGTCTGCCATGTGCCACTTTCAGGTCTCCTCACACTGCTGGTGGGTTCCATTTTGTCATAGGTGTGCTGGCAGATTACGGGCTCCCATTGCTGCTGCCAGGCCCGTAATCTGTGATGGGCCCCTGTACCGCCTCCTCATGCTGCTGCCAGGTCAGAGTGTCTCATGGGTCCCTGTACGGCCTCCCATTGCTGCTGTTCTCCATCGCCACACTCTGCCATGTGCCACTTTCAGGTCTCCTCACACTGCTGGTGGGTTCCATTTTGTCATAGGGTGCTGGCAGATTACGGGCCTCCCATTGCTGCTGCCAGGCCCGTAATCTGCCATGGGCCCCCGTACCCGCCGCTACTCCTCTTGCTGCTGCCAGGTCCAGAGTGTCTCATGGGTCCCTGTACGGCCTCCCATTGCTGCTGTCTCCATCGCCACACTCTGGCCATGTGCGACTTTCAGGTCTCCTCACACTGCTGGTGGGTTCCATTTTGTCATAGGGTGCTGGCAGATTACGGGCTCCCATTGCTGCTGCCAGGCCCGTAATCTGCCATGGGCCCCCGTACCGACTCCTCATGCTGCTGCCAGGCCCGTAATCTGTCATGGGCCCCTGTACCGCCTCCTCATGCTGCTGCCAGGTCCAGAGTGTCTCATGGGTCCCTGTACGGCCTCCCATTGCTGCTGTCTCCATCGTCACACTCTGCCATGTGCCACTTTCAGGTCTCCTCACACTGCTTATGTGTTTGGTATAGGACATCTTATGTCCATAAGTTAATATACATGATTGTCCAATACGGTTACTAAGATTCACTACGCTTAGAGTCATAGGTGATATTTGCACCCTGTTTCTAGATGGAATAAATCCCCCAGCGAAATTTTATCTCTTAAAGCTAGTGTGTGTTTCATTGGATTCTGCTGTGTCGTCAGTCCAGGTAAGAGCTGTGAAACCCACATCATATACCAATATATTGCTAACACCCACGGGTGTGCTACATTTATTATTATAGTAAAGCCATGGACAACACACTCCAAAAGCAAACCATTATTATTGTTTTATCTGTGGTTTCTGAGTAGTGTGATAATAAGTTGTAGTCCTTTTTCTTCTTAGTCCCTGCCTTGCTTCCTAGTGCTGATTAAAGTGTTTTTCAGATATTCCAATTGCACCAAAGCCATTCATAATGTACATCAGTTTTTGCTAGTGTTTTGCCAGCTTTAGAGGTAGAAAAGGATTATGGGACATGTGAGAGCATGAGACCCAGGTATTCAGGGAACCCGGAGTTCATGTGTATATTGGACTTGTGCTCCTGGTGGTGTTGGAAGCCATGAAGTTGATCCTGTGGGTGATGTTGATAATTTGTGTTATTTTGCTCTCTGGATTATGGACGGTATTAGTTTTTGACCTCACAATGAGTCCTTTACCACTTCACTGGGTCCCAGTACGTCGCTATAGATCTCTGCAAATTCCACTTATAGGCAGCCACTTCAACTGCGGTTACCTCTTTCCGGGTCCTTGGCTTTTGTGGTCACCGCTTTAATATGATTTCCCTAACACGTGCCAGTGCCGGTCGGCTGGTAGCCTGAGCCTTGCCAGGAAATTTATAATGTGTCTTAAATTTCATCACGTGCCCTCTCCACAACCCCTTCTCTTTTCACGAGATCCTCAGCGGGTTACTCTGTAGAAACCACCACTGAATATACAGCTGCCAGGAAGGTTCACAAAAGGTGTATTTCAAAGCCTTACAGTTAACTAGGCTTAAAAAATACAAATATGAAACTACAGATTGTTTGTTGGCATTTCTGAACTTCAAGATACAGATTAATGCAGCTCTGTATTAATTAATCCATCATTGCATTTATGTTTTTATTTATACCTGAATTTGTCCTGGCATCAGCCTCCTACAGGCCCCTGTACAGCAAAGCTCATACTGGGGGACACCAATGAGGCTCCTTGGTAGGTAGAAGAGACAGCAGGGTAACCTGTCTGTTTTTTGTGGCTCCCGGTCTGGAATATAGCGCTTTTATGCTGACCTCTGCCCAGTTTTTTTATTTGGGAAAATTTCTCCAAAAGAGTAATTTTCAGATTTCGGTGAGCGGCACTTGTGGCCGAAATGCCTCTTGTATACACACTTAGTCACGGCTCTTTCTGTTTTTACTACGTCTGCTGGAATATTCGGTGACACCACAAAGAATCATGTCCAAAAGGTCATTGTGGTAGTAATATAAAGCTGGGCTTTGTGTATTGAAGGTGTTGTGTAAGTCACTGTTATTATTATCATATTTTATTTATAGAAAAAGAAAACACAGTAACTTGGCTTTCCATCATTCCAATCCCATAAAATCCAAAATTGCCTTACTGTAAGGATTTGGCCACGTGTGAAGATCCTTTTGATCTTTCTCACATTTGGTGTCACAGACCTTTTACAGCTTTTCCCTGGTAAATACTTTCAAAATTTACACGAAGTCCTTGTTTCAGTAAGGGCTCGTTCACACTCGTATTGCCTCTTCACCACCTGTTTTAACAACCTAAATGCTGGACAACAACACCACAACCATTGTACGCAGTTGCAGTGTGGCGGTATTCACTTAAATGGGTCTTGCTTCATGGTGGTAGCACCTGTGGAGCATGACAGGGGGTATTGTTCCTGTATAATTACTGTGATGCAAAGCATTGCCCCTTTGGCATGTGTACACCCTCGGCTGCTTGTTCAACTAAAGAGGGAGTGGTTGAGGGGCAGTATAAAGCCGGCTCAACCACCCGAGCCCCAAGTATCAGATGTGCGTCCACTCAGTGTGCCTATGGGTCTTGTTTCACTGGGTTATGTTAAAACAGGGACAAGCACTGATTGCTGCAGTTTTCAAATTTAAATACATTTGCACTGTTTGCAATTTCATTTTAGCATCAGTTCACTTAAATTCATCACAATTTAATACATTTTAAAAAAATAAATCTTTATTTTTGCAAGTACCAAAGTGTAACAACAAAGTAGTACAAGAAAACATGAAACACAATCACATGTGGGAGCACTCCCTCAGGACCCACTAGAGGGAGTTCATCGAATACCCTCTGCAGCCCTGGCCAAAAGTTTTGGGAATGAAGCAAATATTAATTTATCTGCAAGGAAACACGTGCGGTCACCATTTCTTTGCACAAAAAGGGTTTCACAGGCAAGGATATTGCTGCTACTAAGATTGCACCTAATCGACCATTTATTGGATCATCAAAAGCTTCAAGGAGAGAGGTTCAAATGTTGTGAAGAAGGCTTCAGGGCAACCAAGAAAGTCCAGCAAGCGCCAGGTTGGTCTCCTAAAGTTGATTCAGCTGTGGGATCGGGGCACCACCAGTGCAGAGCTTGCTGAGGAATGGCAGCAGGCAGGGAGAGTGCATCGGCATGCACAGTGAGGAGAAGACTTTTGGAGGATGGCCTGGTGTCAAGAAGGGCAGAAAAAATCCACTTCTCTCCAGGAAAAACATCAGGG